ATACCTGAGTACTTACATGTATATGCATGAACTTACTGATATCGATCGTACTGGTCCTGCGCGGCACCGCGTGCTGCACAGCTACCTTTTTGGTTAACAATTACGTGTAATTATGTCAGAATCATTTACATATTTGAACTGTCGCTCTTGTTCTATTATAACTATCGTTAGGGAGAGCTCACTACAATCATGCCAAGTTTATTACAATGGTTAAGATTCAAGAACCTGATGATAAAGGGAACTAATATTTTACAATGATTAGGCATTTATTATAAAGAGAATGTAAATTTATGTATTCTTGATTTAGGGACGAATTCTAATTTCTCATGATGTTGACACTATGGTTTATGCAACCGCGTATACATTTGAAATTTCGATGTATAAGTTACTAAGGGAGTTCTTGTGAGTTGAGCACTAAAAACGCCTAATACTACTAAGGTAAGATTAACATGACAATTATGGAAGGTAACTACTAAAAAGGAACAACAAATTTGAAACATGGAATAAATTATCGGTTATAGTGCCTAGTACTACTGTGACAGATACAAATATGATATAAAACAAAATCGAGTTACACTACTTGAACTACCGCTATTGTTTGTAATTAGGCGTGCATTATCCCTATTAGTTAGTAATGAATGGAAGTAATACTTTGAAAGTGATTCTGGATCATGATAATATGTATGCACGTAAATTACAATGTTTAACATATATTTGATAAAGTACATACAGAAAATCTAATTTTAGGATCTAATTTACGAAAAGCTTAAACAAGCAAAAAAACAAAAAGACCAAATAACTTAGATAGTATGATAAGATGATCCAAAATCTTTTATGAAAATCTTTCCCATTTTAATTGATACTCAAACATGATTTATGATATTTCGACAAACAGACGGTAGGAGTATCTGAAATAATTTGAAACTTGTATAATGCCAAATATTAAATTATTAATTAAAGAACGAAATATATTATTATTTTGTAGATTTTATATACCGTATACACGTTTTAAATTAATCTATTTCTTGTGAATATGTTATTAGCTCGTGATATTTACAGTAATTATTATAGGTGTTAAACTATGTTTTTCTTTAGAATTTTATATATTTCTAACTAAAGGTATGATTTTATTATATATTTATATCAAACTTGAGTTGTTTCTGGGAAGATTTAGAACGATTTCTATAATAAAAGAACTGAGCAAGAATCTTTAAAGACATTAAATTTTAATAATATATCATATTTAAGAAAAAATACAGTTTTAATAATTTTAAGACTTACTATAAAGTCAAACAATAAAGCACCAGTATTTCCAATCAACCAGGGAAGATTACCAAGCAGGTAATTTAATTCCACAGAGTAGATAATGATCGACTATGATGTATAAGTTAATTTTTTTATTGTAAATAAAATGAAAAAAAAGATTTATACATACAAGACAAAAAGTGATATTGCCTAATGCACAATAACAAAACATGGCTAAAGATAGTCCTTCAGTAGATTGACTATTATAATTTTTAATGACTTGAGGAATTCTTGCTACGACTATTAAGGGATACAATAAATATTTATATATAATAAATGACAACACATTTAAAATTAAAGAAAAAAATTTTTTTTAATTACAATAACACATGGCACTAGACCATCCGAAAATCTGCGGCAGTAATTTCAGTTCGATATTTTGATTATATTCTGTCTTCGTTTGAGAAGAGATAATGTAAGCAAGACCCCCAATCAAACAGATAACAAAGAACCCAGAAAAAATTTTCAAAAATGTCTTAAATCTTGATTGACATATGGGAATTTGTGATTCTACGGTTGAATCATCAGGTCTAATAAATTCACCAGTAGATTCGTCAGAACTATTATTAGATTCTTTGGATTTATTTTCGGATTCGTTGGATTTATCATCAGATTCGTCATCATCTGGTATTTTACGAGAGCGGTAATAATAGGTTTGCAATAATAAAGTGATATCAATCAAAACGTTATAAAGCGCGACAAGTATCTATAATTAAAATTTCGCATTACTATCATGTACTAGTATAGAAATTGAGTATTATCTATTCAGAGAAACAAATTATGTAAATGATATATGCGAATTAACTTAGATATACAACTTACCACTGTTAGCAACAAGTTTTGTAAAATAGCACCGATCAAATCAAGCAATTCGCCCATGATCCATATATATATTAAAGCTAATGATAGTGAACTGCCAGATTTTCGTTTATAGTTTTCATAAAGTTGTCTGTAGGAAATTAAGAATTATTATATCTTTTACAACATTGATGAGAAAGTAATAAAGGATTACTTACGGAATTGAAACACAGATCCAACAAGCTAAAGAAATGAAACCAACTACTCTTGAATAAACTATATGTTCTGAATCAGCCATTTTAATTAATCTTAAAATTTTATATCAAAGAGAAAAATAAGTAAAATTAAAATAATAAATCCAAATTTCTTGTCATGGCTGAACTTGGAAATGGCTGAAGCTATGAAATTTTCAAATTTTTTGGGGTGCATTTTTTAGCTTTTTTTATATAGTTAGCTTAGAATTTAGGGTTAGTTTTTATATTAAAAATGTATAAGTGGATTTTAGTAGGGTTTATGTTTTTAAATCAAGGTCCGCAATTTCCAGCTTCAGCCACGACATTTCTTTTAACTATGATCAGATTATTATTTTATACATTATCAACAGCTATTTAAAAAACCATCAATTTACTAGTTATTGCTAATATTCTGGCATGCAGTTTGTTTGCTAAAAGTCTAAACATTCGGCATCAAATTAATACAGCGAAATATTTCGATCAGATTAGTTGTTCATATAAAATATATGAATAAGTCCTAATGATCATTAACCTTACAGCATAATTTTAGATAATGAAATTAATAAAGCCTTTATTTAACCTGATCTTAAGGTTTTGTAGCTGCAAGTTTCAAAATAAATTGTTTGGATTAATGCTTGCGTATGCATTAATCTATTTATGTGCATTAACTTAGATAAGCTTTTCACTTTATTTGCACTTGTATAGTTAATACAAAACAAATTTATATGAAACTTACAGCTGTAAATCTTGTAAAGGTAGCTAAGACCATATTCAACTAACCTTACTGGTATCTTTTGTAGTTAAAATTTTGTGTGGGTTAATTTGTTTAAATGATATCAAAAAAGTATAACTTCACAATATATTTCTGAATTTGCAAAAAAATAGATTGCTTTATAGTCCCGCTATAAATTAACGCGTTTCATTTTATAAATTACTTTTTTTTTGTTGATAAGGCGTCCTCAAAACAAAAACAATACAAATTTTCAAAGAATTACAATTTATTTTATAGGGTCAAACGTTAGATTTAAATTATTTGATGATATTGGACAATTTGCGCCTTATAGAGATTATATTGTATCGATCTATATGCATAAACTAACTCGAAAGTGAAGTATTCAACAGAATCTATTTCGGAGTAGACCTCCAGACTTACGAAAAAGTATCTCTTTAAATAGTATCGGAGCACTATTAGTTGTACAAAGAACTATCAAAAATTGATTGGATGACTTGACTGTGCCACGACAAAATTTTATCTACCAAACATTTACCCCTAAAATGCAGGAGATACATTCTACGTACAAGTGAACAGCCTCTTTAAATGCATACTCAAATTTAAGCCAAATATATACATGACGCCCACAAATATACTTTTTTTTTATTGTTCATTAAGTTCACATTGTTAAAGTTTGGTCCCAAAAGCGTATACTTATGTTTTTAGAAGAAATTTCTAAGCCACTTGGTTTAGAGTTAATATCAACTTATTGTGGAAATAATTATGCATGTAATTGTTTAATCTAATTATTCATTTATTTTGTTAAAAATCTTATTGCTCGTTTGAATAGGTTTTTAATTTTATATTACTTATAGGAAGAGTTAGGTTTGAAAGATGTTGTGTTCTTTCATTAATCTATTTAAAATTATATTCGCTTTGGCTTTCTAATATAAAATTAATTATAACGAAATTTCACATATAATTGTTGGAAACAAATATGACAATAAAAAATATATGACCCTGACTGTATGAAATACTAATGTGATTATATAAAGTTTTTTTTTGATAAATATATTACCAATAATTTTTAAAAAATGGTGCTAATATAGGTGTGATGATATAGAAGGTGACTGTAGAGGAGAACGACTGTATTATGATACATTTTATAACAAATAACTTTATTTGATATTTTACTTTTTTTATGGTACAGTATAATGAAAAAAATTGTTTAATGTCTTTAATGAAAGCATATGATCAATATAATTTGTAGCTTCATTAAATTTTAGTGAATTCTTTCCTTTTTGAGATCGGAGTTAATTCAGTATATGACTGTATGCCCATAATAAAATTGGATCAAAATGAAATTTGAGGCTTCCTAAAATCAACTTGTGTTTGTTTACTATTGTAGCCGACAATTTTAATCTCATCACTTTCATATTTGTCATTCTCTAATTTGTTACACAAGTAGACAATGAAGGTTTCATTTATATATTTTTGAATCTCAGACACTCGTGTTCAAAAAAACAAAACAAAACAATCTATTAACACATATTTGTAATTTATTTATCTTCCATAATTGTATCGCCATAGTCGTTTGAATCTTACTTTAGTAGTACATTCGTATTAGACGTTATTATGTATTCTTGGTGGCTTAACCCAGTTGTGTATACACCAAAATTTCAAGCATAAACTTGATAGAATAAATTATCTGTGGAAAACATGTATAAGTTAGTGCTAGTAGCGTAGACTCGCTAATCATAGCGATAAAATCATGAAAAATTAGAATGTATATTAAGGCATGTGCTTGCCCTTGGTTAAAGGAGAATGTATGCCCTCTGAATTCATTCCTAAAACAAAGAATACATAACTTTACTTAATTCTTTTATATAACAAGTGCCTAATAACCATAAAATATGAGTTTTCTGTTTATCAGTTTCTCGCGTCTTCTCTTAAATTATTCATCTGAGTTAAACTCGGCATGATTTTCGGAGGCTCACTCATGCTATGGTGACACTATATCATATCTTTTATTAATAATAAAGTTGTTGTAGAAGCAGTTCCTAATTTAAATAAATATTAATATCTACTGTGTAGTAACCTCCAAAATCTAAAAATTATTATATTTTATGCTGTAAAATGGTCGAATGGCATATAATTATAATCTAACACCATTTTATTATAATAAAAATGGTGTTAGATTATAATCATAACATGAACTAGCGGAATGATCTGGTATTGTAAAATGATTTTTTTTATGTTGCACACCGGGTGAAAGATCAGTTGTGTAACATCAACAATCTCTTCTGTTCGCATAGTACGTATATGAATAACAGATTTGTAACACTGGTATATTATACAAATACCAAGATGTGATAATCATCTGGTAAATAATAATGAGTAAATCTGTAAATTTCAAACTTAAACTTTAAATTATGTAGAATGAAAGGTAATTAAAGTTTGTCACTCTTAATAACAGCTTATTTAAGTATATATGTTACATCTGGATACACACGTTACGTCTGGATGATATACTGCATCTGGAGTAACAAGACACGGGTTTCTTAATTCCACCAACTATGGAACCTATAATAAACCTGAGTCTAATATTCAGCTGAGAATTTAAAAGTATGCATATTTTGCATTTACTTCTATACTATTTTGTTATGGTTATTACCCGGATCTCGGATTCGACTGATCAGGAATATTTATATTTCTTTTAAATATACTTCCTTTAATGATATTTAATTCGCTAAAAGAAAAGTAAATTTGTTGGTTAAAAAAGGAAAAAGAAATAAAAAAATGAAAGAAACTTGTAATTTTAATAAAACTACACTTTAGAGAACTCGACTTTAATTTTAAAAATAGTATAGAAGTATAATAAGAAACCAGTTATTGTCCGCAGATAGAATAGTATAATATGAATGCTACTGGTATGACCGAAATTTTCCGATAAATTTTGCTCTTTTCCGCAATATTCCGATAACAAGAGAAATTTGAAACCAATTGATCACACACAGGATTTTTGGGAATTCATGATTTGCTAATCACTATCCACAGAGCTAACATACAGTAACCAAAATCAAGATGATCGAATAATGACATAATGGCACATTGGCTGTGAATACTTTCAAAATAAATTTCATTTTATTTCTACATATGCAAAATAATCTGCTTTAGCTAATCAAAAAATTCAATTTTCGAAATAACTTGGTTCATTTTATTCTTAATGAAAGTATTTACTCGGTGCACAATCATTTCACCGACAACACATTTAGCCGACATCACATAGGGGTTATGATTAGCATTTTATTAGTCGCTGATATATATTTTAGTAAATTGTCACACGGCGTGTTGCCGGCTAAATAAGCTGTTACTTCAAATATCTGAAGTGGCCACTGTAAAGAATGATATAAAATATTATCTATCAGTTTCTATGATAGTGCTGTCAAAATAAGTTATAGTCATTGCTCACTTTGTGGACAATAACCATGTTAGATGGTCGGATAGTTGACTGAATGTAGGGACAGTTAATACAATTAACCCCTGAAATTGGACCTCTCATGCGTACAAATGCTGCTTCAGATGTCTATAGTAGCTACTCCGGATGCAACTATATTCATGCATACTTTGCACTGCATATATATAAATATACTAGTATTCTTGCACGTACTTATAAACGTGCAGCAGCCTATCCATTTAACGAATAAAGAACCAAATATCTCAATTATTAAATGATTATACTCACAAACCAAATTAATTGGAAAAAAACATAGAGATCTATTGAAAATTAATAAGTTGAAATACTATTTATATTTACCGGGGCATTATTTTGAGTTACGACCCGAATTTGGTTTAATTCAGCCGTAACTCAAAATAACGCTCATGACCGCTATTTCGTGATGATCATTAAGTTTTGATTTTCGGAGTGATTCAAATTTCACGATTTTGATTGGCTAAATGTAACCGGTGGCTATCAGGTAATCTCATGATTTGCTTGGCCTTAGGCAGCCTTGCTTAATTTTTCTTTTACATTGTTTCTATTTTTTACTATGCAAATCAACTTTCATTTATAATTAAAAATATCATTATTATTGTTCATCATAGAACCTGTCACTTTTATCAAATGTACAACTTCCATGACCAACAATACATCTTTGCCTAATTTGTAGTACAGTATGGGATAGTGTTGTTGAACAAGCAATTTGGTATCATGGGACTAGCATTTGCAAGTATCATGTTGTTACTTTACTTCTTTTTTTTTATTTATATTTTTTTAAAAAAAATTTATATCTTTAGAAATTTCAGTCTTAATAGTAAATACTGTTTTAAGGTATAGCATAACTACTTTTAAGT